AGCACATTCAGACCAGGGAGACGGGCAGGTATCCACCTTCAGCAGCATTTACTCTGCCCAGGGGAAGGAATAAAATAGGGAGTGAGAGCTAGTGCTGTGGGGACAGGACTGGGAGTCGGGAACTCCATCGCTCTAGTCCCAGCTCCTGCACTGACTGCGCAGCCATGGGCACGTCATACGATCTCCCTGGGCCGTGTCTATCTCTGATGTAACTGCACCGAGTTACAGGGTTCTAGAGCAGGGTGGGTTTGGCCAATGAGGTCTGTGTTTTCCCATTTGAGAAGTGGGGACTTTAACACTCAGTTATTTACCTCTCAGAGCCATGGGGAGAATTCATCAGCTCTTGTTTGTGGCTTTGGGGTGCCATTCAAGGGCTAACGCTTACTTTCAAGTGACAAACATAGCCCAGTTATTGGAAATATTAAGCAGCTGGGCGTGTGGGTGGCATCTTTACTGGCAGTCTTGCCGATAAAAACCCAGACTGGCCCCCAAGAGAAAATCAACGGGAAGATTCTGTTGACATCTCTCATCTAACCCAGCCCAGTGCATTCATACTGCCTCCCTTGCCACAAAGTCCAGCAGGCTAAGATAGGGATCTGTGTTAACCAGGACAGATTTTTTAAGAATCCTGTCTTTCCAATTGATTGTGGGAACAATGGACTTCAAGTTTTGTGAATCAAGTCCCATTACTTTGCAAAAGTTTTTAAGTCTCTTGCACAAAACTGTGGTCCATTGTCACTAATGAGGTCTTCAGGTATGCTATGCTTTGCAAATATAGACTTGCAATGTCTGATGACAGATGCACTTGTGGTGTCCTGAAGCAAGCAGACTTCTAAGTATTTGAATATTAATTAGCCAGAATAAAATAATCTGCACCTTGAAACTCAACCGGTCCATGCCAAGTTTCTGCTAAGATCTGTTTGGGGCCTCATGTGGTAGCATGTGGGGGGGTACGGATTACAGGGTCAAACCCCCACCGAAGCCCCAGCAGCTGCTCAGGTGATGAGTGAGGTCCACTGCCGATGATCCTGTCTCCCACCGGAAGCCCCCTCAGCGTCTCCTCCAGGTGAGTGCCGGGGGAGGGGAAGGCTAGGTCTCAGAAGCATGTATGTGCCTCTGTCCTACCCCTCCCCTTCCTGACTTGCAGCAGCCAGCTGCTCGCTCGCCCTCAGGCTCAGCTCTCTGCTGGCCAAGGTCTCTGGTTGCCATAGAGGCAGCAGAAGCCGAGAGAGCAGCTGACACTTGCCTCGCCCTCATTACGGCACTGTGTTGCTTTTGATTTTTGTTTCCGAAAGTTTGACATGGGTTGCAAAGACTGTACCATGTCCTCATTTGGACAGCACATGGTTGGCCAATAGATGGCATCTTGAGCTCTCCTTTTACATAGCTCTGCTCCCAGATCACTGTCTTGAATAATAGCTAAGATCTCTTTTCTGAGATTTGCCGGTACTATCATTCCATCACTCTTAAAGACAAATCCATCTTGCACACTTAGTTCCTCATTATATAAGGAATGAGCACAGATATCCTCTGGTACGTCCTGTCTCTTATCCAGCCATCCTTGCAAAATAGTTTGTTTTAAGGTTTGCAGGACAACATCATTTGCAGTAGTTCCTTGGAATTCCTTCAATTTCTGTTCTGAAATAGAAAAATAAGCATCATAAGATGTATTGCAACACCAGCTTCCTCTGAACTTACTCCTTCACCATGAAACATGTCTGCTAATTCTTTCACTGCTCTGTGTCTCACTTGCAGCTAATATTTCGGGAGTGTTAACAACCATCTAGGAAACCTTGATGGAGCACTACAGAGGTTTTCTGAAAATGGCCTAAAAGTATGTTTTCACAGCTACTTTTCCCCCCGTAGGTAAACGGATGAAATCAAGTACAGCCAAATACTGTTTCCAACATTTCTTTTCCTTCTGGGCATTGTTCTGTGGTGTGGAAGTTTAGAGCTTTAAAGACACAAGCAACAGGAGCCCTGTTTTGCAGCAATACAGCCCCTAATTGGGAGAGCTTGCATCCACCGGCAGAGCAACTGGTTCTGTGACAGTAAGTACTTCAGCACCGGTGTCCTTATAAGCAATTCTTTCATGTGTTCATGTGCCACCTCCATGTACTGGCATCCCAGCAGACATGACGTCTTTCCCAACAGTTGCCTTAAAGGAGTAGCTCCCGTTGACATGTTCAGAATACATTTCCCAAGGTAAGTAACCGTTTCAAGAAATCTTGGCAATTCAGCCTTGCAGGTCAGTGTGGCCATTTCAGTAATTGCAGCCATTTTTGAGTTGTCAGGTTTTAGACCTTCATTTGGCAAATTATGCCCCAAATATTTCATCTCTGTCAGATCCAGTTCAGTCACAGGTTCCTTTCATGACAGGTGTCTAGCACTCCCTTGAGCCTTTCATCATATTCCCATCTGGTATTTCCCCACCCGGTATGTCATCCTTATAATATTCAACACCTTCCAGACCTTCAAATGTCTGTTGGATCCCTTCAAGAGCTGAACAGATGCCCACAGGAAGTCTGGTGAACCTGCACCTGCCAAATGCTGCGCTGAACGTACACAGTCTAGAACTTTTGTCATCCAGCTGTACTTGCCAAGATCTACTCCTGGGGTCCAAATCAGGGGAAATGGCAGTTTTTGCTAACTTGCTGGTAATTTCTTCCACTGCAGGCAATTGAAAGTGTTCTTTGTATTGCTTTATTCAGATCTCTCAGATCAAAGCACATTCTTATTTCATCTCAACCTGATTTGGCTACATTTACTATAGAATTGACCCATTTTGTAAGTTCTTGTAACTCTTGTTATTACTTGCAACTGTTCCATATGGTGCAGATTTTTCACTTCACTGGAACTTTACTAGGTGCATGAATTGCAGCCAGTACTTATGAATTCACTCCAACCCTGCACATCCATCCTCGTATTCTCTAAATATATCCCAGTTACCTTCTGGTTCTTCCGTTACCAGACTGACTCTGCACTTGTCACAGACTGTAAGCCCAGTTTGTCCCTTTAACAGGAATGGGGACGAGATCCCATCGCTCTCCAAATTGTCCTTTAGAGCTCTGTGCATTGGGTGAGATTGTTCCAAGCGTTATTAGGGAGATGCAGTGTGGTCCCAGGCTCTGCCTGGAAGGATTTCTGGGCAGATTAAATATGATACCTGCTTCTCTACCTCTGAAATGGCCCCTCTGGCTGTCACAGGACGAATGCTAGTAAACGTTCCCCTTTGATGATGAGAGGTTTGTGTCTCACTTCCCCATCTGGTTGTGTCACTGTGAGCAGCGCTAGCATCCCACACCTGACAGTAATAATCAGCCTCGTCCTGTGCCTGGACTCCAGTGATGGTTAACGTGGCCGTGTTACCGGAGTTGGCACCAGAGAATCGCTCAGGGATTCCGGAGGGTCTTTCATTATCCTTATATATAACGAGTACGGGGGCGCTGCCAGGTTTCTGTTGGTACCACTGCACATACTTATCCCCAATGTTGTTTCCTGAGCAGGTGAGTTGAGCATTTTGCCCTGGAGACACAGACACTGAGGGCGGTTGAGTCAGCACGTACTGGGCGAGAGAACCTGAAACAGGAGGAGAAAACATGGGGATAAAATCAGGATGATTAAAGCTCTCAGCCAGCAGCCTGGGGAACCAATGGGAGAAATAGCTCTAAAATCAAAGTCCCCTTTGATTGAAAGACTGAGATAAGCCTCCTCCCCCCCCCCCCCCCCCCCCCCCCCGCACCTGAGCAGTAAGTGAGCAGCGTGAGGAGCAGAGGGGCCCAGGCCATGGTGGGAATCCAGACGAGCTCGGCTTCCTGAGGCAAACGGGTCTGTGGCTGGGACCCTTCGATTCTCTCTTAAACCCCCATAGCTGGAGAACGGCCCCTTCATGCAAATCAGCCCCCTGCTCACTGGCTGCTGCTGGCACCTCCCTCCCCTCAGAGACAGCAACTGACAGACCCAAGAATTGTTTTGTTTTCCATTTGCAAGGAAAAATGAAGCTCATCTTGGGGG